TGGGTTGTGGGGGGGGGGTGGGTGACAAACAGGCCATAATTTCTAGAACTAAAACTACCGTTGGCATATTGACAGGTGCTCTCAAGTTTATGTACATATTATACTTTGAGATGTAAGAGGATCAGGGTGCATGTAAGAGTTTACATGATCCAAGGACCTTTACTGGGGGAGCACTGTGCAAGTGTTAAAGAGCCTGGCTGGGTGCTCTGCAGACAGCTTGTGCTACTGCCACTACCCAGCCAGAGCCCCTGTGCATGCATCCCAGCATGCTTTACAAGTTCCCTTGTCTTCCTGGAGACAGACAATAGCATCTGAGGACACAGATCAAAGCTGACTGGGATTGACTGCCTCAGGGAACCATGCCCCTGGCACCCCCTTTTCCCTTTTTTGCCTCCCTTCCAGCAGTCAGGCTTTGAGACAGAGCACATCCACTCTCTTTTCAAGCCTGTTAATTTTCCCTCCAGCACCCACAATGGATCTACCCCTCTGGCACCAACTGAGAGACCCAGTTCCAGTGCAGGTCACATGAGTATGGTTGGGTTCAGGCATTGTTGGGGCAGGTGCTGGTGGGTCAAGGCGGGGTGCAACCAAATTTGGTGCTGGTGGATCAGTGCTTCTGGGCTGGGGTTGGGTGCTGCCAAGTCAGGTGTTGGGAACTGCTGGTTCAAAGTTGCCAGTTCCATGAGTCTATGCCTTTGGGTTCTCTGTGATTCATAGAATCATAGAGAATTAGGGTTTGAAGGGAGCTCAGGAGGTCACCTAGTCCAACCCCCTGCTCAAAGCAGGACTATCCTCAACTAGATCGTTCCAGCCAGGGCTTTGCTAAGCTGGGCAGTAAAAACCTCCAAGGATGGCAATTCCACCTCTCTAGGTAACTTGTTCCAGTGCTTCACCACCCTCCTAGTGCAAGCGTTTTTCCTAATATCCAATCTAAACTTCCCTTGCTGCACTTGAGACCGTTGCTCCTTGTTCATCTGTCACCACTGAGAACAGTCTAGCTCCATGCTCTTTGGAATTGCCCTTCACGTAGTTAAAGGCTTCTATCAAATCCCCTCTTATTCTTCTCTTCTCCAAACTAAATAAACACAGTCCCCTGAGCCTCTCCTCAGAAGTCATGTGCCTCAGTCCCTGAACCATTTTTGTTGCTTTCCACTGGACCACCTCCAAGTTGTAGTTTATAGTGGGGGCCAGAAAACTGGACACTGTACTCCAGATGTGGCTTCACCAGTGCAGAAAAGAGCAAGATAATTACTTCTCTCGATCTGCTGGCAAGGCTCCTACTAATGCAGCCCAGTATATTCTTAGTCTTCTTGTCAAGAAGGGCAAACTGCTGACCCACATCCATCTTATTGTCCACTGTAACCCCCAGGTCCTTTTCTGCAGAGCTGCTGCTTAGCCAGTCAGTCCCCAGCCTGTACCAGTGCATAGGATTTTTCTACCAGTGCATAGGATTCTAAGTGCAAGATTTTGTACTTGGCCTTGTTGAACCTCACGAGATTCCTTTTGGCCCAAATCCTCCAATTTGTCTAGGTCACTCTGAATCCTAGCCCTACCCTCCAGTGTATGTACTACACTCCCACAGCTTGCTGTCATTTGCAAACTTCTAGATCATTAATGAAGATATGGAACAAAACCAGCCCCAGGACAAACCCCTGGAGCACTCCACTTGATACCGATGGCCAGCTAGACATTGACCCACTGATTACTACTCATTGAGCCCAACAATCCAGCCAACTTTTTATCTACTTTACAGTCCATTCATCCAACCCATACTTCCTCAGCTTGCTTGCAAGAATGCTGTGGGAAACAGCTAAAGTCAAGGTATATTATATTCACTGCTTTCCCCACATCCACAGAGCCAGTTATCTCATCATAGAAGGCAATCAGCTTGGTCAGGCATGAGTTGGCCTTGGTGAATCCATGGCGACTGTTCCTAATCCTCACTGTCTTCTCCAAGTGCTTATAAATGAATTTTTTGAGGAACTACTCCATGGTTTTTCCAGAGACTGAGGTGAAGTTGACTGATCTGTAGTTCCCTGGATCCTCCTCTTCTTTCTTAAGAATGGGCACTAGATTTGCCCTTTTCTAATAATCTGAGACCTCCCCTGATCATCACAAGTTTTCAAAGATAACAGCCAGTAGCTCTGAAATCACATCAGCCAACTCCCTCAGCACACACAGATGCATCTAGCCCCATGGCCTTGTACAAGTCCAGTTTTTCTAAATAGTCCCTAATCTGTTCTTTCAATGCTCAGGGCTGCTTACCTTCTCCCCAAACTGTGTTGCCAGGTGCAGTATTCTGGGATCTGACTTTGCCTGTGAAGACTGAGCTAAAAAAGGCATTGAGTACTTTAGCCTGTCACTAAGTTGCCTCCCTCATTCAGTCAGGGACCCACACTTTCCCTGACCTTCCTCTTGTTGCTAACATACTTGTAAAAACCCTTTTGTTACCCTTCATGCCCCTTGCTAGTTGCAACACCAATTGCGTGTTGACCTTCTTGACTTCATCTCTGCATGCCTGAGCAGTATTCTTATACTCCTCCCAAGTTGTTTGTCCAGGCTTTCAATTGGATTCAACTCAGATGAGCCAGACCCTGCCCCCCCAGACCCAAACTACATAGATCCA